TCTCTTTCACCGCAGTTTTTTCAAATCTCTTACACTTTTTGTTATTTTGCTACCGTAGAAATTAATGAAACTAGGACTAAATAATCCAGCCAAGTCATTCAAAAATATTAATTTATTTTACTTGCATTTAGCAATATTCAAACAAGCTGATTTGCAACTCACAACTAGATTTTTGTCATTCGATCTTTTCATTCACCGCATTTTTTTAAAATCTCTTACACTTTTTGTTATTTTGCTACCGTAGAAATTAATAAAACTAGGACTAAATAATCCAGCCAGGTCTTTCTAAAAAATTAATTTATTTTACTTGCTTTTAGCAATATTCAAACAAGCTGATTTGCAACTCACAACTAGATTTTTGTCATTCGATCTTCTCTTTCACCGCAGTTTTTTCAAATCTCTTACACTTTTTGTTATTTTGCTACCGTAGAAATTAATAAAACTAGGACTAAATAATCCAGCCAGGTCTTTCTAAAAAATTAATTTATTTTACTTTCATTTAGCGATATTCAAACAAGCTGATTTGCAACTCACAACTAGATTTTTGTCATTCGATCTTCTCATTCACCGCAGTATTCTTTTTTTCTTTTATTATTATTATTGTTTCTTTATTGTATTATGGAATGTAATCACAGAGCCTGATAGCAGTAAATATAATTTAAAACGAAACTAAATAATTAAAAATATTAATAAATTTTCTTTTATCTTTTATAATACTTTCTTTTATAACTTCAATGAGCAAGGAAGTTTTAAAATTATTCAAACTCATTTCAACTTAATTATTGTAGAGCTTGTTGATTTTCTACTTTTATAAAAACTATCAACTAAAATTATCATTGAAAATAAAACTGTGAGTCATGTTGGAAAAACAGCTTCGTCATTCTTCTAAAATACTTCGATATAAATTCCGCCACATTTTGCTCGCTCCCTCTAAAAAAGCTATGTTTTGACAAGAACGTTGTCGTCGTCTTCGTCATCGAAGAAAAAAAAACGACGGTGGTATAAAAATATTTTGTTGAAGGCGCGCGGTATAACAGAGCACGCTGTTGACAATGAGTATCGAATGACGATGCCATAGAAAATTGATTCTGCTCTGCCTTTCTTTTTATACTCGTCCGCCGCCACCAGTTGGCTCTTTTTTTCTCAAGCCGCCCTCTCGGTCCACAACTAGTCCTTTGAATGTCTTCTTAAACGCCTTAATCCGCTCTTTGTTGCAGCGTTTAAAACTAAAAAAGAAAGAAAGAGTGGCGCTTAGCACCAGAAAATCAACGATAACTCTCTTTTTGGCACCCACTGTGCGAAAAAACGGGCGGAAATAAAACTGTGCGAGTGGAAAACGACGCCTCCTTTATGGAGCGAAATCGAAAATGCGCGAAAGATTGCGATTTAATGTCCCTTGCACGGCGTAAAAAATATATTAATGCGCGCCCGAGTGGAAATTTGATGGTTGTTTTATTAGTGGAAAAACAAATGTCCTCTGAAAAAAAAAATATGATAGTACTAAAAAAGATCGAAAAAGAATTACTTTTTTACCATTTCTAGAATTATTAAATTATTATCAATAAGTATAATAGGTTCTAAATTTAAAATTTTTATAAGCATCTTTCTTAACTATCTCCTTGCATCAAACAATATTTCCTTTATCATTACAAAAGAAGTTTGTTCTAATTTTTGCGGTCTTTCACATATTTTCACAATGAAAATAATTTAAAAGCAAACATTAAAAAGAATGGTAATGACGAGATCGGGCTTTTACTCATTGCAAAAATGGTTTCTATTCAAAAATAATCGGCTTTACCAGTTTCGGTCACGGTCTGCGACCCAATTTCATGAGCAAGAAAAAATAATAAAATTAACAAGAAATTGAAAAAATAAAACACATTTTAATTATTATTATTGTTGTTTATTTGTCCACATTGTTACAAATACATTGTTTACATTCAATTTTTGAAAAACAATTATTTAGAGAGCCAATTGTTTTATAATGAATACAATTTTTGCAGCGAAGAAAAGCCCGATCTGTTCATATCCATGATCATCTCCTCGGTCGATTGTCAATTTCTTCAAACAAATTAAAAAGGATTTTATTTAATCGAAAGTTTTGATAAAAAAAACTTTTATAAAGAATTTTAAATTTAAATATCTATGAGATAAAGAATTTTCAGTTGTCCTTCAGTTGTTCCTTTTTATTTGTTGAGTCAATAAATCTCAATAGGAATTGCACTTACAAATTAACATCAATTTCTTATTTTTAATTTGTCTACAAAACTTTTAATTTACATCTTCATTCCTGTTTCTTGCAGCTAGTGCAAATAAAAATGAAAAGAACACAATTTCACAAGCAGAAAATTAAGATTACAAATGCAAAGTAATTAAAATTCCCATGGCCTACTTTTAAGCCTTGCTGGATAAATCCCTCTTCCTCGAACCAGAGCTTGCACCATATATCATTGTCGTGGTTTTAATTAGTCGTTAGCAGACCGACGGCATTCATTCGTTCACGTCGTGCGTATTTGCAGAATTAATTAAAAAGTCTGCAAAAAGAAAAAAAATCAAAAGTGAAAAGGAGCTCATTGCGAATGCAAACACAAAGGCGAACAAAAGGGTTATCAAGAGAGCAGAGCAAACAGCGGCGACGTGCGAAAGCCAAACAATAATAATAAGAAGTGCATTAGGGCCTGTTTAGGCCGGGCCGCGCGTATATTTTTCCCGCGCGCAATATCCGTTCTGATGTGTCCGTATTACATTATCATGCGGTGAACCACTCACTATGTGTGTTGGAAAATGGAGCGCGAGGGAAGAAGGTTGGCAAAGCCTAGGAAGAGCCCTACAATTCCTTCCCGACGTCAAGGCAGATTTTTCCTCTGACAAAGTGAAGGTTCTTTCTTGCGTTGCCACTCGCTCCCTTTTGAGTAGTCGCTTTTCAGGAAAGCTTTCTCTGAAAAAGAATCCACTGGGATTGCGACTTATACACATATGAAAAAATGCACACGCAAAACCAACCGCACACATCAGTGTATACGAGCGCGAGTTTTTTGTTGTGTTTGTGTGTCAACGACGTGTTTTTTTATTCATGCGTGTTCGCTCAAAAGTGGCTTTTACCGTGTGAATTTCAGTCAGCCTGCGCCAGTATATAAATCGTGACACTGAAATTCCCAACTTTTTCTTTTTACTCCCGGTTTGAATGTTTTAATAGACACAAACATAATATTAACAGTCCAATGTAACTTTGAAATTAGCAAATAATAAATAGCTAAAAAATTTAAAACAGAAATTTTAATGTTTTAAAAATAATTAAAATTTCCAATTCAAAGTTGAAATTTGGACATTTTAATTTGTTTTTCCGAGCATTGGTTTTCTTGCTCATTTTCTAAATTTACGTTAAAATTTTTTTTAAAAAATAAAAAAATTAAATTTTTTAAAACATTTTATAAACTAGAAATAGTAAATAATTTTAATAAATATTTTTTTTTTATAAATTTCTTAATTTATTTAAATAATATTGTATGTTAAATTTATTTATTGTTTTATTCAATTTTAAAAGCGCTTAAGTGCTGTAAAAATGGCGCCATAAAATTATATTAAATAATCAGTTTGTGCGTTTGCTCAAGAATTTTGTGTCTGTACATAAATTTTACTCCGAATTTGAGTTTCTTGATTATCTGAAGAATTTGTAAATATGTTTCTTTCTTTTGATCATTCTATTTTTCATTTGACCCGGTTGTAAATAAGTGGATTACGACGGAGATATAATATGTAATATCACTTATGACACAATAAAAGAGAAGGAATAATATAATATAATGCTTGAATATTTGAGGCACTTGGATGCAGGCAAGGTCCGCTCGTCAGAAAATTTCGATTGTTGCCGAGCTCTCTGATTGGGTACAACTTTACTTGTACCCAATCAAAGAGCTCAAACGACAATCAAAAATTTTTTCATTGTTGCTGATGCGCGGACCTTGGATGCAGGCAGGGTATCTTTATGTTTAATGAATTAAATTAATTGATTTGTAGTGGTTTCTAAGTTATTCATAATTATTTATAATATATGCTGAATGCGCAGACTGAGCTACGATTGTTATTAGGGACTAGAGTGGCAAATTTTATAAGTTTTTGATGATCGCTTAGGAAATATTGAAACCTCTGAAAAATTGTAAAGGGGGTTAACATTTGTCAAAAACAATTTATATTTATCGTTACAAAATTGCTTCAGGATCTCATTTATAAATGGTTGATTTTTAATAATTCCTCTTCCAACCCCTGAAGGAAATCAATTCTATAACTTGAATAATAAAATTTATAAATTTTGATGCGCTAGAATTTTTAAATTGTAGAAAATAATATATTATCTTCCATTTAGCACATATTTTAACTGAAACAGAGTGGCTAGATTAGCAAATGAACGATACAACGATCTCGATTTTATCAAACTTGTATTTTTTTGCCGACAATAGCTCCATTCACAGAGGCTTGGATGCAAATGAAAACAAACAATAGTACGTGTACATCATATAAACCGTCATGGGAAATCGAGCAGCAGACCGAGATGAAAAAGCGAAATCCCCCATCAGATAAAATTCCAATTCCCGTTCAAGTTATACGATCATGAGCGGCGCATCCGCAGTGAAAGATTTAATTAAAACGATAGCCCACGGAACTAGAGAGAGAGAGAAACAAATAATAAATAGAGTGCTGAATACCTGTTGGGAACAACAACAAGCATATCCGTCACACAGCAGTTGTGCATTTCCCCACGATTAAGCTCATCCATTATTATTTTCCGAGCCGTCATCGAGAATCATAAATAACCGGAGTATTAAATTTTGCACGCTTTCACTGACATTTCGAGACGTTGGTAGAAAATTATTTCTTGCTTGAATGTGTATTTAGTCGTTTGTTTGTATGTTTGATGCAAGCGTATGTTTGTCTTTCATCTAACGTTTTCTCTGCTTTCTTTTGTTCTTGCTTGCCGCTGGCTTGGATTGGATCATCTGTAGAGCTCAACTAGAGTAAGTACAATGGATTGCGACTGCATTAAACACATACTCGGGCCCATTGTCATGCAAGCCGGCCGGGTAAATATAGAAAAGACGCGGGCATTTCACGCTAATGTAGTGCTCGAGAGTGCTTCCACATCCACAGGTTTCTTTTGCTCGCTCTCAGTATAAAAAAAAACAATATTAAAATGCTATGCTAGGCACACTCGTGACCTACTTTCCACTAGTTTTTATTGTTTGTCATTGTTTAGCAAACGGATTTGCTAATATGAATTGGATTTGGGACGCGTGAATTCGCGTGAACGTATTTTGGCAAATCTCCAGCGTGAAAACTTATTTTCTCGCTGGAAAGCGTAGATTTTATTACGCAATCATGTTTCTTTTTCTTTCATCTAAAGCACAGAAATGAAAGAAAAACACATCAATTGAATTCTATTATTTTACGAAAGGCGAACAACTCGTAAGTATTTTGAGAAATTAAAACCCAAAGAAACCACTCGGAACGGGAAATAATTTGATTTAGTACTTATGACTAAACGCCTTTTACGTGGAATTACGTTCCGAGACGCGAGATACTGAGACAAAACCAGTGTAAAAAAAGTTAGAAATTTCCTGTTGTGATAATAAACAATTTTAATTGAGGGCGAAAATTTCCCAAAATTAAAAGTATCTCGCGTCTCGGAACGTAATTCCACGTAAAAGGCGTTTAGTCATAAGTACTAAATCAACTTATAAGTAATTTAAAATAAAATAAGAAAAATTGAAATAAAGAATATATTATTAGAGCAATTTAATAACATTTGTACAATTTAATAATAAATTTTAATTATATTTTTTATATTTTCTTTCTTTTTTTTGTTTAATTTAACATTGATATTTTTTTTAGATAGATATTTTAGCAAAATGCAACAGTTGACTTAGATAATTAAATTTATTTGAGCTAAAGGAGAGCATTTAGAATTAATATTTACTGTTAAGGTTTTAATGCGGATGGATCAGAAATTGCGTGTTTAAATTTTGAAATTCTACATATTAAGTTATTGGATTGAAATTAAAATTGGCTCTTCCTTGATGGATTATGTGAGTTGTTAATTATGTAAGAAAAAACAATGTTTTGACAGCTTGCTGTTAATTTGAATGAAAATCATAATTTTTAGGTCTACTTTTGTACTAATTCTTATCAAAATGATTTAACAGCTCATGAATTGTGGCTGCAGCCAAAACATGTAGAGCAGGATTTTGTTTTCTTCAACAACAAACAACTCACAAAACCCATTGAGATAAAACTGATTTTAAATTCAAGTTCTACCACAAAATTTGATTGTTTACAAAAAAGTTATTAAAATTTAAATTAAAACAGTTTGGGTCTTAAAATCGCCATGATCATTAAAATTGGTTAAAATCTAATTTAAAATAGAATTATTCCTTTTTTTACCCATTTAATGATGAACTAAAACTTATCCGATCAAATCATTAATGAACAGTATTATTTGTAGGTTATTATTTATAAAATCAAACTTCATATGCCAATTTTAGTCTTTCAATTCAAGCATCAATCTATTAAAAAATCTACAAAAATCCGATCTAAACATTTGCATGTTTGTCTTTGTCAAATTTCGCTTGGCTTAATAAAATAAAATCGCATCTCACAGTCAGAATTTGAGATGAAGTCGTCCCGCTTTGGCAAGACAAATTGACAGTTAATTGGTGTCTAAGTAGACGCGCGAAACAAGGCGGTCCATTTCTCCGCAGTCGACAAAGTTGAGCAACCTGAACCCTAAATTGCAAGTCGCAAATTGCAATGGCTGCTGGTCGGAGAATATTAATTGCCAAAGTCCGGAGCGGTGGGGAAACGATTTACGTGTATCTATATTTGCATGACCGCACGGAGGAGCCGAAGTGCTGATTACACTCTTGACGGCTCCTCTCCTTCGCTTTGTCTCCCTCTCTATCCAATGGGCACATTTGCCCGGGGGTCGCGTGTACAGTACAGATGAGCCGTCCGCGCGCGCGACCAAAATCGATACCCCATCTTCGCAAACGTACTCGCTCCACCTTGCTCGCTTTAAATCCATCTTCCGACCACACTTTTTTTACTCTGCACTCCGAATTTGGAAGTCACTTGCATTTGTGAGAAAAAATAGTAATTAATCAATTTGTTTTCAAATACTTGAAAGATCAATTAGCATTTTCTTATTATTTTTATGCAAAATTAAAATATTTTTCAGCGCCTTCTGCAACATAATTTACAACAATAATTTTCATCCACTCATATATTAAAATTTTGCTTTTATTTAATGTAAAATATAAAATATCAACATTAACCTATATGAATAACGTTTTATAATATAAAGTTAAATTGCACATCAATTTTTGCTAATTTTATTTTGTTTATTATAATTTATAAGTATTAAGTGACAACTGAAAAAGTTAAAATTCTATTGATCTATTGGTCAATATTTTGGGAAAAAAAATAGTTAAAATAATAAAAAAATATATTTTATATTTTGAACCATACAAATTTTCATGTAGAACTCAAGAGTCTAATATTCATTATCATAATCCCTTTAGATTTGACTAGTTTTATATAAAACGATCATAAAGTAATACAAACCATTAAAAAAAAATCATTTTTAAATCATTGACATAGTCAAATCAAGTCTTTACAACAGTGGTTTGTGGTGACGCCTCATACGTCAATAAAGATCAATAATAATAATAATAATAATTCCCAATAATTGCCCAAAATCGCTTCTATTGTTGTAAAGACTTGATTTGACTATGTCATTAAGGAGTTCTTAATTAATTTATCATCCAATATGACGTTAAGGCAAAATTTTTATGATATGTTTTTGGCTAAAACATGTTTTGTTTTACATTATATTATATCTCAATAAAGAAAAATTGAAATTTCCAAACAAAATTCGCCTGAATGTCAATTGAAGGAAGCCAATTTTTTTTTTACCTCATTACTTTTCACTATCATATTCAAATTTTTTTGGGTCAGGCCAAGACAAAGTGTCTCATCTTATATGTGCCCATATGAGCTTGCAGAAGGCAAGCTCATATTATTAACTAATTTCCTAATAATAATGAATAATAATTTATATTTCTAAATTGAATTTTAACATAACGCTATGAAAAGCGAGGAAATAATTTCTCAATTCGAATCCTAGCAAAAATCGAGTTATCATTGAAATTTCAACTGTCTTTTTATCTTAATAAAGCACTCTTCCTTTTTTTCATTTTTATTGATATTTAACACGCATGCCTAGGGCTTAAAATATTTGCCTTTAAATCAAAATTATCAAACCAAAAAGTCATTTGGGCCTTTTATCCGGAAACTTGAGTTTGTCTTTTAAATTTTAAATGTGAAAAATATTTTAGTCAATTTTAAATCCAAAAGAATCCAGTTTACTCTCCCCTTCCTACAAAACAACCAAAACATCAGTTTATCCTTGCGAATTTCTAATGCGAAAGGACCATCAAATTATCCCGAAATCGGCTTTTCTGGCCAAAATCCTGGTGCGAAATCGCCGGTGCTTATCCTTGTGGGTCCATTTTATCCTTTGTCCTCGGCGCGACTGCATGGCTGCGGGGATTTGGCCAGATTGAATCAATCAGGAAACTCTCTTGCTTGCGGTGTCGGGGAATAAAGTGAACGATGGATGGACTGCGAGAGCGCCGGATGCTGGACCGCCATCACTTTTTTTTGCAGCGTTTGGCCTGGCGGGCCTGCCGACGGCGCCAAAGCAGCCCTTCCGCTTGCCGCGCCCCTCGCTTTGTAATTAAACTTTGTAATTGCAAGCAAGACAACTCGATGGGATTTAAATGACTCGTCTGCCGAATTACCGCGTCGCATCACGTGTTCCTCTGTAGTGCACGCGCAATTTGGCAAGTTTGCAAAAAAACTCCGGCCATTGACGCCGAGTGGCGCGCATTCGAGCCAATTTATTCAGACACAAAGAAGTAGGAAACATTTTTTTAGGGGGGAATACCATAATCCTTTTGACGATCAATCAAGGTTTTTCCATTATTCTGTTACTCCCCACAAATAGATCACAGAAAAATAAATTATATCAATTTTGAATATAGAATTAGTGGGCTTCAAAGATTTAAATTTCAATATATTATACCAGTAATTGTGAAAATTGAATTTCAGATTAATACATAAAAATATATTATTTATTTATTTATTTCCATTCGATACAGTCATGATTCATGAATACACAGCAAAAAAAACTATACACAATAGTACAGAAAAAGATGAAAATACATTATTTGAAAAGAGACAATTAGGGTGTGATTTTTAACAAATCAAAGCTTGCATCAATGCATGAATTAAATCATTACCAATATTATGTTTTAAATTATTAATTTCTGCTTAGCTGATGTGAAAGAATATTATTTTAATATACAATTTAAAGTTTTAAACCATCCTGCTCTGATTATATAAAATATACACGATTGCATAATAAAGTTTATTAACTAACTTTTTCTGCAACATGAAATCAGTGTCGAAAAATCAATCAACAATCTTTAAGTTAAAAAGGCTTTTAAATATTTTAAAATGTAAGAAGCTTTAAAATAATATTATATTTTAATAAATTTAAAAAAATTGAAAAAATATTATAAACTGTAATTAGAAATTAATGTTTTATAAATTTTAAATGTCATATCTTTAAATTCTTAATAATTTTGCAGAATAGATGCTTATATATTCCCACTGAAAGCGTTAATGTTTTAACAATGAAAATTATTTTTTTTTGACACATCTCACCTCTGTAGTATCCCAAAATCGATTCTTAACTACAAAATCATAAATGAGCCATTTTTTCTTTCTTTCTCACTTTTTGATTCCCAAGAAGGGCAAGATTTCAAGGATCCATTAAAATCAAAACCTTTGAATTTTTCTTATCCCATAAACATAGCATGCAAGTAATAAATTGTTTTAGAAAAAGAGAATAAAACTCGGATTCTAAGTGAGCTTTTTAGATTTGCTGGCGCTTCAA